TCTTCCTTCGTCTAATTTTATGTTGTGTGTTTACCAATGATACTTTTTTTATTTTCTCTTTTCTTGCACACAATCGCTGCAATACGGTATGATGGAAAAAGAAAGAAAGGAAAGGAATAGTCATGAGTTACCGCCAAAATAAAATGATTAAATCATTCCCGTTTTGTTTGACTCATGTCGTCAGTGATGATTATTCTGTCAATGACAATGTACCAGTAGATGTGGGTTTGCGATTGCTAAAATATATTCAATACACTCATTCTCAATATATTCCTTCACTCACTCGTACCCACCCATTGTTTTTCAAAATAATCTCGTTTTTTCATAAAATTATATAGTTTGTTGTGGTTAGCGAGTATAAAATTCAGTTATACAAGATTAAAAATCAGTGTATATTCTTGACAGAACAATAGATATGTCAAGTCTTTATTTCATCAACGGTATCGTTTCAACCGATTAATATTTCTTTGTGTCTTTTCACATAACCAATGATTGCGAGGGTAATGTGTCGTATTAATGTTCATTACGTTTTGATAGCACTCAAGTGCACAATTGATATCACGAATATATTCATATTCAGAAGCGAGGCAATGAAATTTTCGAGCCAGAATTAATTTATCAGCAAGTTGTTCTTGTATCTGAATTGTTAGACCTTCTTTGTAATAATCGAGTGAATCTTTAATTTTATTCAGTGCTCGACACGTGGAAGAAATATCAATGAGAATGCCAGTCAACTTTGAATAATCGATAGGATTAGTATTTCTATGAATATCTAATACCTGTAATTGATAAGTAAGTACCTTCTCCGACCGATTCTTATGAAGTAATATAAGATCTTCAAGAATACTGAGAACAGTCCGTTGTTGGCCATTGTATGAGGGGCAACTTTTTGTCATTTCCAGCGCTTGAATATTATGTTGAATAGCTTCTGTTAAATTATCAATATTGTAATACATTTTCCCGACTTGATAAAGACTCCAGGCTGTATTACGATGAACAGCTGGTAAATCTTTTTGTCTGAGTTCTAACGCTTGAAGATGGTATTGAAGAGCTTGCCCATATATTTTTTGACGTGAGTAAATATTAGCAATCTCTTCATAACTGAAAGCAAGGACAACATTGTCCAGACCTAAACATTCCTTTCGCACTTCTAAACCGTTCAGTTGATATGTCAGAGCTTGTGTGTATTCCTTTTTATATAAATAAATTCGTCCAATATTTCTGTACACTTCTGCAATATAACGATTAGCTCTATCTATCTGTTGCTCGAAGATATCCATTGCTTTTTTACAAAAATCTAACGCTTTCTCAGTATCTTTTTGTTTTAAATAAGTCTGACCTATATTATGTAGTATGATGGCTAAGTATACTCTTTCTACTAGCTCAGAACGATAAATTAACTCATATGCTCTATTAAAATATTCTAGCGCCTGGTCGTATTTGCCATTATCTCGTAAAGTAACACCAATTCGATTATTTATATGAGCTATGTTTTGCTCACCAGGATTTTCTAAAAGTCGTTTGAAATACTGTAACGATTTTTTATACTTCCCTAGTCTTTTCAGTAAAATCCCTAACATTATTGTAGGACTTTCATATTCCATTTCTCGTCGGCTCTCTTCTATATATCTTTTCGCTTTCTCTAATCCTTCGTTACTTGTTCTCATCTGTACTACAATTAATTCAGTATCACCTTCGTTTTCTTCCTTAATATTTTCGATATAAAAAATTGAACCTGCATCGAACAAGCATTCCTTCTCTAGCGAAAGTTCACTTAAATCAGATATATCAGCAACAATAATTGAACCATTTGGATCCTTTAAATTACATTTAATTTCATATAATACTGGCACATGATCTACACGATTAGTCATTTTATTGGCAAATGTACATGCATAGGAACGATCACGACTAGTAGACCAATAACCATTGATGGCAATAAGTTTATTCACATTCGCTTTGACTTTTGTCAATTCCTTTCTGTGTATCTTTGTACCACGATATAAATATAGTGTTTCATCTTTCTGATTTTTGATCTTTTCGTGTTCTTTAGCAAGTTGTCTTGATAAATCAGCAATATAATAACGAAATAAATACAGTTGTTCAATATCTTCTGTTCGCAAAGCTTTATTGATTAACCGATATACAAATGTCTCTTTTGTATACCACCAAATACATGTATCTTCATCGTAATTCATATCAAAGTTGTTGACATCTCCTAGTATTCGAAGATTATTTCGATAATATTCACGACAAACTGTTAGCATTTCTTGTTTTGCATCATCACAGCGAGGTAATTGTTGAATAACATCTTTGAATAACTGAAACCTATAATATAGACTAAATAACTTATAACTGTAAATAATGAATCAAAGTATGATACCATAAAAACTCAGCTGATTGTTCAGATAAATCACGGGTCCCTTGTTGATGTTCATCGTAGAAAGTAATGATTTCCATTTGCTTATTAACACATTTAATTTCTGCTGTCAGTGATTCAATAAGTTTAGTATATTGATCAAAAATGTCTACAATGTTAGAATAATCATCTAATAGACGTGTATATGTCTCACGATTTCCTGGATAAATAAATATTGAATACAGTTGAGAAAGATTGTTAATCTTTGGAAGCAACTGAAATGTGTTGTTGGCAGAAATAATAAGAAAAATCTTTTCTTCATTGATTGACTTGATATACTCAATGCAAGAATTAGTATCAGTAGGAAAGAGAATAAAATTATTTATTGCTTGTAGATCTTCTTTAACTTTTTCGATGTCTTCTAATGGGTTAACGACAGGATCAAACCAAATAAGGGCAACATTCTCTTTATTTTCTTGAGTATAGTTACTGGTCGTGAGTGATGTAGTTGTCGACATATAGGTGATTTTGATGTTCACAACAAGTACCTCGCACGTAACACTAAGATCTAAAAGAAAAATAGATGCGCCTGAATGTATCATAATTAAAGCATCGAACGACTCTGAAAGTATTCATGCACAGAAAAATGCACAAGATACGTTTTATTGTTTTCAAATGAATCAACACTAGATAAATAATTATCAAAGCAACGTTCTTAGTTTTTTCAATCAAAATAAAATATAGAATAATAAGAGTAAAAGAATGAATATGATGTTACTGTAAAAAGAAGAAAAGCAACGACGAGAATATGAATATGATAAAAAATATAATGGCTTTTTTTTCTTTCTTTCTTTCCTGAAGAAGTATGTGATGTCGTATAAAGTATTTTTTATAAGGTGTGAACACATTTCTGAACGACGCTAGGAGAAAAATATTTTCTTCGTTTCTATGACGTTTTAAATATATGGTATCTCATGTAATTCCGAAACGCACCTAAAATGTGTTTGAACGCATCTTGAAGCAGAAGTGAGAAAATAAAGCTGATCTATACGGTAAATAATTATCAAAACTTGAGTGAAACTAAATTTTGATAAAAATTTATCTCGTGAAACACTTACAGTTTCCGATAAGTTTTAGCAGATGATTGTGTGTGAATATTGCTTCACGATGCTGATTTGTGTGTTGACAAAATTGAACACTTTCATAAATATGATTGTAAAAATAGTATCAATAACACCTTAGTGAACAAGGAGCTACTCTATTCATAATGACTAAAGTCATCTTTTATATCGGATTTCTTTTCAGCAGTAACTCAATATACGCGAACTAAAAATGGTCGAAAGGTTTCCTGTTTGAAAAATGAAATTCAAAGATATAAAGTAATAGAGAAGTGGCGATTGTAAGGGCGACAAATTGAATTTGAATAGTACTAGATGGGTGTGGATGTAGATAAGTGTGTGATGATTTGGATATCCACACCCTCAAAACAAAACTATAAATACATTTTTTTCTATACTTTTCATTTGGAGGGTGTCTATGTACACACAGGTAGGCATAGCTATCTTATTAGTAAATGTAAAGTCATGTTATTATTCTCAATGTATTTCTTTATTGGTGCAAATCAGATGTGTTATCTCTTTAATTATTTTATTTTATTAATCCTTTATTACATATAAATTAATTAGTACAGTTACACAACTATTGAAAAAACTTAAATAAAATAAAGATCCATTAATTTCAAAGCATTTCTAGTGTTTTCTTGCTTGGGTTTCGAAGGAAATAGTTGAGCTCCATTACTTTTAATGGAATAAATCAAATCCGTCTAGTACCAATGCTTTTATTTTCTCTCGATCATATCATTTTTGCTGTCCAATAATTGTAAAGCGAAAATTTTTATTTGTTCTTATTTAAGTAACTCAAAAACTGGGGCGTTTCAAAACATGAAAAGCCTAAGACCTTACAGTCTGAAAACATAACCTTCATTAAGGCAAAGTAATTAGCCTTTACTTGAATCTTTTCTTTATTGAGCTTATCAGTCTGTGTACAAATTAAATGAAATAAATTGATTATTTGTATAATCAAAAGGACCGATTTAATATAATCTCATTTATAATATTAAATGAATACTACTATAGCATTAAAAAGTCTACTATATTCATTTTCAACGTCTACTACAAAACAAAGTCGGTTTTTCTAGTGTACTTAAGTTTAAGGATGTATTCATGTTCGTCTTAATTCGTTATTCAGAAAAGTGGATCAAGATAAACATTCTATCTTTCTGAAGCAATTTGATAATTAGTAACCACTCAAAGAAGAATTTAAAAATTGCTGCATTAATTACTCAGGAAATAAAAATAGCAAAAACTAATGGCTTTCGTGTCAGAAACATGAAAAAAATAACATTCCTGATGATGAAACGGACATTATTTTTAATATATTTTATGTTCACTAATCAAAATGTAAATTTCCATCACAATTATCAAGTGAAATCGATTAAAAATCAAAATCACGGAGTGAGTTCAATACAAATTTTTGTTTCAATAAATGAAAATGAATACATCAGAAAAATAATATCCGTTTCATCATTTAAATGCAATTTTTCTCATTTTTCTGTACTGTGGATATTATCAGCTGGTGAATGCTTTAACATCCTCAACGAAATATAACGAAAAATAGAGCAAAGAATTTTTGATCGTTTTCGATACCAAAAAGTAATATATGTATGCCATCACAGTGACTCTGTTAGAAGACATAAAAGATGAATCAAGAATCGACTTGATTATATTGCGAATTTTATTTTAAAATACAGCACGATACGGAATTAAATAAAGTTATTCAAAAAATAAGATGTTCAGCTTATATCAAAAAAGAAACATACATATAAAATAATAATATGATTTTATATTTACTAAAAAATGGTTATACCTACTTGTATGTAAATAGACACTTCGTTTTATTGAATGGTCATACAACTTTTATTCAGATCTATGTGTATATCGTTGTCGTTTTTTTCTGTATACTTGCTTGTCTGTTTTTATTCTTCTTTTATATCGACTCTTCGTATTCTCATTCTTTTTTTTTCTGTTCTTGCTGATCTCTTTTGTACCAGTCCCTTCTACTCTTACTCAATTTTTCTTTAGTATTTTTTTCTTGTTCTTGTGGTCTCTTTTATATCAATTAATTATACTCTTATCGGTTTTTTTTTCTTTATATTGGCTTTTTTCTTTATAATGTTCTCTTTTATATCAACTTTTTCTACCCTACATCGTTTTCTTCTTCGTAGAATAATTTTCTAATATTTTTAAAATACTCGACCGATTTACGCGAGAACTTTTCAACGGATATCCATATCAGAAAAGATGTAAAAAATCGATTTTGATGGATTGTTACCTGTTAACTTATTAATTTTACGTATGAAAGATAAAGTTAAACCATCTTGGGGGGTGAGGGCCCAAGTGTCAGTTGATTATGGTACTGCTATATACACATCCTTTTTAATTCATTAATGAATTGAAATAATATTTCGAATTGATTTTATTTAGAATTATAAAAATATTTTAAAACTATAAAATGAAAAGTTTATGTATTAGAATTTCAATCAGTTTTAAATATCAAGGCATAAATAGTTAAAATATTTTAGAGAAGATCCATTAACACTGGGTTAGATTTTTATTAGATTTTGACGAATTTTATAAATAAAAATAATTAAAATGCTAGTTTTATATTTTGTCTAATCGAGGATATTCGATTAAAATCAATTAGATTTTTTTTGTTTTTTATAAAATAAAAAATACAAAGTCTCTTAATTATTTTTAATAAATAATTAAACTTAAAAATGAATTGAAGATATTTAACAGAATTATTCTTTAAAATAAAATTCTGTTAATAAAAATTTTTCAAGTAGTAGGATGATTTAAACAAAAGAAAATTTTATTATTAGGAAAAGTTTTTGACAAAAACTAAATTTTTATTCGATTAGATAAATAACAAAGAACAATTTTCTAATTAGAAAATATTTTTTCAATTGATCCTTTATTATACTCATAATATTTCTGTATGAAGTAAATATTTAATTAGAATAAACACTTTTATTTATTCTTTCCTTTAATTAGTCTATTTCTAAACTACAAGATATATAAAGACTATACATCAATGTAAAAATTTATTAATTAAATCGTTTAAGTATTGAATAAACAATTAATAAAATTATTTACAATTTTTATTTTCTTTAGAAGAGAAAAAATTTTATCATGAAATTTTAGATAAAAAATCATGATATTATTTGAAAAATAAATTTTATTTTATATATACTTAATAACTAATTAATAAGCAATGAATTTTTAATTATATTACGAAAAATCGAAAAATATTTTTCATGAAAAAAAAACAAAATTAAACTAATTCATTTTACTATTATGCAAGTCGTTTTGATGAATTTACTAAATATAAAAATTAATTTTATTTTAAATAAATATATTTTACCGGTATTTTTTTTTAAAGAAAATCGTTAGTTTTTATCAAAAGATTATTGTATTCTTTTAAAACCATCGTGAAAGCGTGGGTGTGAGGGTGAGCATGTAAAAGAGAGTATTATGTTCATGTCTTATCTTTGCCTACCCACACGCTTAAAAAACGCTTTGTTCTTCTATCCAACATCGTTTAAATGATTAGATTTATAGACAAAATATCTTTATATTCAAGTGGATTTTGTTCATAGCTATATTTATACAAGGCAAATGAGATATACTGATATAAGTAATTAATCATATCAATTTAGCTAACTATTAATTCTTTTTGTTATTGTTAATATGAATTATCAGTTTTTAATGATATTGTTGGTAAATAACGTTCTTATTTTATTTTTAATTAAAAAAAAAATTAACAAACAATATGTAATTTCTTATAATTTTTAAAATCATTCGTTCTTTTTTTAAACAGATGTCTTTAAAAATTTATTATATTTTTCAGCTTGGGTACGAAGTTTTTCTAATACTGCTCTGACCAATCCATTGAAATTGTCGCTGCTTATCATGGCGCACGATAATTTAACGCCTACTGTTACTGTTGCACCATAATTTCTTCCGTGCAGCATAACAAGTGCATCTATGAAATTTGATTCTTGTAATGTATCAGTTTGAACATATGTTTGTCCATTATCTACCGTGTTCGATAAATTCTCCCAGGTCGAACAATCCGGCCCGGAAACGGTCGAATCCAGATAATTCCAGAGATTTCATAGAAGCAGTATTCCGGTGAACGGATTCAGTCACCGGATTTCTGCGTCAGAAATCATCGTTCCGGGCTGTAGTATGTCCTAAACAAAACTACTGTTTACATTAGAGAAAAAATGTTTGATTTGTTTTACCTTTTAGCAAAATAAAAATTGAATGAATTGGTATATTAGCTTCCATTAAACGTTCTCCAAGTTCAAACACTCTCAACGTGAAACCATCTGCAATATCAAGTAGTTGATGATCGTTGAGATGACTAAAAATACACACAGCTCCTATATGATCAACCAATTCACCCGCTAACTAAAAGAAATAAAAAGAATCGATTAATCGAATACAAATTTTGTACGTACTACACGTTTAAAACCGTCTTTCACATATTTTTCATGACCTTCTTGATCAGGATTAACGAAAAATTCTGAATTGTTAATACCAAATAGATTTATCATAGCCAGGTCGAACAATCCGACACGGAAATGGTCACCAAATTTCTATGTCGAATTCTTGACATTTCCCGCGAGTTTCAGCTGGATATGTACGGAATACTGCTTCAGGCATCATCGTCTTGGGTTGGCACATAATTCTGCCCATAATTTTGTGTTGGATAAATTTTCCCATGTCCTAAACAAAATTATTGTTTACATTAGAGACAAAATATGTGATTTGTTTTACCATTTAACAAAACAAAAATTGAATTAATCGGTCTATTAGCTTCGACTATTTTCTTTCCATGTTGAAATATTTTTAGCGCACAACAATGAGCATCTTGAAGATGCCCGTGTAATGGAAAATAGATGCAATAAGTTTCCAATTGATGTATATAAGTGGTGTAAATTGTTCGGAGAGCACTATAAGATAATGTTCTATCGACTAATAATACTAAAAAGTAAAAATAAATTTATATAGTTTACATAATATAACTGCACACTATATTGTGCTCGTATGAATGTAATTTGCTTTGTGAAAGTTCATGCTTTATTCCATCTTCGATTCTTAATTCAGAGTGACTTCTAGTAACGTTATACTTCGTATTTCTATAATACGTATTACTCTAATTCGACACAACTCGGATGAGAGAGAGAGAGACATGGATAAAAATGTGAGAAGAGGGAAAATATATCGGGAGAAAAAAAAGAAGAAACAAGAAGTAGGGGCGGAAAAGATCACGTATTAGTGGAGTAGACAAAAGGGGTATCATTAAAAAGGACGTCTGTCACTTCTCTCACGTTAGTGTAAATAGATAATAAAGCGATAACTTACTGATGTACGGTCAAGTAAAATTGATTTAGCTGGTTTTAAATTATTTAATGAATGACCTATATCTTAAAATGCATCGGCCAACAACTTAAACATTGACCTTGCACAATTTCAAACGGAGGATTATCAGTAGCACAAAATTCAGCAGCAGCTTTGATAATTTTTTTTAAATTAGTTGATCCATCTCCACTTTTCCACGCAAGTAATTGATCACAATTTGAACAACAAATAAAGTTTTGAGCAATACAATTAACGAATACTTGTGAAAAATTTGTGCAATGTTCACTGGTTGACCTTTTTGATTTTGCGTAAGATATCGATGGAGCACGAGTTTTTATTAAATTTTCTATATCAGTTTTTGATAAAATTGTCATCGTAAAAGTTCTTGAAGAATGTGGTTTGGTGCAGTTTTTTCTTAGTTAAAAAGACAATTTCTTCTAGAATATGGACTATTATTTATAGGTTTGAAATTAGATAAAGAACGAGATTAACAAAAGGACAAATACAATGATGAAATACGTTCGTAATATATACATATATATGGATATTGTCACATGAAATTCGAACCCTGGATTGTTATTGATCACACTAAAACCTCACCAAACTCGTTGCTTTTCAAATAATACTTATACAGTTTTGTTCAGTTTTTTATGTTCTTTCGAATGGTATATTTGGAATTTAAAAACGACCCAAAAAAGAATTAATTAATGGCTAATAAGTATAATTAGTATACTTATTAATTAATTATTAATTAATTAACTTCAATAAAAATAGAAGTGATTTATATCAAAATGTAGACCATCAAATTCTGCATCGAGTAGTATATAGAACATCTTCTAGATGTTCTGAATCAGCTTAAAAATTAGCCAATTACTAAAAATGTGCTAAATTTTTTTTTTTACTTTTTTTTACTTTTTTTTTACTTCTTGTTCACAATGTTACGCATTTTGGCTATAACATTTTCATTACTCAATCAAAACTAAAAAATCTTTTTACCAAAATGATCAGTAAAATAAGCTCTACAAAACTAGTTATGAGAGAAAATTTTTAGAATATTCCTATTATTCGTTTATGAGTAAAAACAAAAACATGCATGCTATTTACGGGCCTCACTGTATCATACAGAATTCAAAGAATTTTAACATAGACGATTCCAATGCCGATCCTTAAAACTGATTTTCACGATTTCGATGCGATTCTGTAAAAACTTATTACCAGTTTCGATCCGGTTTCAAACGTAAAAAAGTTAAATTTTTCCATTCCGATACGGTACTAAAAATAAATAAAACTCTTATCGATTCGGATACAAGTCCAAAAAAATCCGATTTTGTCCATGCATAATCCACACTCTAGGCCTCATTTACGCTATTGTATATTTATTGAACGACTACTCTAAGAGTGTATTATTCAGTCATTCGATTAATCATAATAATCTGGTGCAAGCTTAAGTGTTTGTACAAGAACTGGATCGTGAGTAAGAAATAGTCTTGCATTCGGTACAGAAGCTAATTGTTTTAATCGTTGAATTGATTCAAGTGCAGCTTTATCATCTACTGATTCACCAGGTAAAATCTCTTTTTCATAATTTTCCATTAAATCACCAGCATCACCTGTCATAATTATTATTGCTCCACTTGGTAACTGAACACGAACTGATTGATGTCCTGACGTATGACCACGTGTTGATATCAGATCTAAGCCAGGTAGAATATTCATATCACCATTTACTAAGATCCAATCAGATTCTGGTCGACTATCATAGTCATCACGAAACCATGCACTACCTAACTTTTCTTGTGGTTGAAATCCATGCTCATATTCTTGATGTTGAATATAAATTTTAGCATTTGGAAAGTGTTTTAAATTTCCTGTATGATCAGCATGCATATGAGTTAATATAATATATTTAATCATGTATGGTTCAACATTAATTTGTGATAATTGATATCTTAAATGATGTACTGGAAGTACAACTGGAGCTGGCTTCCAACCACGATCCAAAAAATATTTTTGCGCTAATATTGGATCATCAATTTTTGCTTCATCTATACCACAATCGACAAGTATCCAACCGTCAGTTGTATCGAGTAAAAAGGCAGTAATAGGTTCACTCATAATAATATTTGCACCAAGGTTACGAGTTGAAACTGCTTTAGGAATAATTTCAAATCCACATAATAACACATACAAGCGTCGGACAGATGATGTTATAGTTGAAATATATTCCGACATTTCTTTCTAGAATGAAAGATAAGAAAAGCAATGAAATTCATCTTGAGAGTATCGGTTTATGGAGTTTTATCTTTATACTCACACGCTTAAACAATTTCACGTACTACGTCTCATCGATTTATCCAACTAAAAGGTTCTACAGAGGATTCTACATTCTATCTTTGATGCTATCAAACATTGTACACATGCACATGGTAATTGACCGATAAAAGTAGAAAGAAAAAAATACGAAACTTTATCACATGTTTCGTTCAGAAAAGGCGCAAATAAAATCAGTTGAATCAACTTATAGTCGGATCTCGGCTACAGTATATAAAAATAGTTATTTGAACAACAACGATTATTTTTGATAACTCCTTAATATTTCGTCAAAATCTATTCAATAAATGCCTCATTTGATAAGGAAAACGTTTCTGTATACGTTGGTATAATTTTGTTGGTGTAGGATAGAAAAACAAAAATTAATTTTTTCGTTCTGTCGCAGACTACATATATGACAAAGATATATAGAAAGAAATGTTTTTTTCTCTACACCGACTGATCCATTCGAAAATATAGGATATTAACTACTTTAAAGCGACCACTAACCGTGTAGCCAAGTATATCATGTAGTGGAGAATTAAATTCTCTAAAAACATACTTAGTGCAGTTTTTTTTATAAAAAGTCGAGATTAATAAATGTTCTACACAAAAAAAACGATAGTACTGCAGTTTTATCACAGCATCATTATCATATATGGAAAGAACGGAAAAAAATTTTGATTTGATGAATGTCTCGCTAGTGAATGCGAGAAAGAAAATATGAGATATAGATGGCGGGTTTGGGTGGGGTGTGCGTGTCGGTATGGTTTAAGTAAAATAACTATACTTCCACACTCACCGATATATTTTAAAAAGTGCATTGAGTTTTTGATGAAAATATGTAATAAAGATGTGTTATTTTTATTATGTTCGAAACAAAAATCTAAGAAATAATTCAAGTTTTTAATATATCGAATAATCGACTTTTGATGTTACGAAAAGTATTTTATATACGTCTAAGAATCAGTTGCTTTTAATGAACCAACTTCTATCCAATATTTGATATAACGCTGTATAAGTTGTTGGTCGATTGGTGGACAATTCTGAAGTATTGCTGACCGCCGAATTGTCTTTTCCAAGCTGAACTGACCAATGTGACATATTTTTCCATCAGCAAAAGTCTTCTCGAAGAAGGCAGCAAGTGCATAAGCTGGATTCTTAGGATTGCCAAGGAGTTGATGAATCCATTCTTCGGTAGGCACTACTTTGAATTGAAGACCAGATGATTTCAAATAGTTGATCAATTGTGACCAAGTGATAACATGTGGATTTTGAATGTGGTGTACACGTTCGGAAGAAGGGGCTGATCGTGTACTCGAATTGATAGCAATGTCAACAAGACAGGCCGCTCCGTAATTTACTGGTATCCAGTTAATTTGTTCACCATCTTCGGGCAACATACCCATCTCACCACATCCCACACAGATCATCAATGAAATCATTTCACGAGTATTCCATACGCCACTTTCACTATCACCTGATATCTGTCCAAATCGATAAATATCGACAGGTACGCCTAAAAAAATGTCAATAGCATTGAACAATAACACGTTTCTTATCATAATTTTCTATTTGTAACTTACCCCAATGATTCATAGCTGCCCCACAGATATGCTCAGCGGCATATTTTGATTGTCCATAGCCATTAGGAAGAGCAATTCCTTTTTGACGAGATAAAGGTTCTTCTTTAACTTTATCGATGACAACGGAACCTACTGCGGACACGCTTGAAATGAAATGAAAATGCATTGGTACTTGTGACAAAGAAGTTGCTGCAAGCTTGAGAAGTTGATAGAGTCCTTTCAAACATTCCCGATCAAAATCGTTGATAGTTAAGTTAAAATCCATTTTCCAAGCCGAATGAATTATATCAGTAACTTCACGTTGTAGTTGTTGATAGATTTTTGTCGTTTGACCAAGCTGGTCATCATCGAAATTCGTTGATAAAATGATGATACGTGTCTTATCATCTAATACTGCAGTATCTTGTTTCCGTGATTCCATATCAGTTCGAAGACGATTATGTGCATCGGGACCGCGCAGAAGACAATAAATTTTAGTTACTTGAGGTTTATTCAGTAATTGTAAAAGTGTTTGACTTCCGAGAGAGCCATTGGCACCTGTAATTAAAAAGATACGTTTTCCAAGATGATCACTATTTGTGATTTGACGTTTTTTATTTGTATGTGTTGCCATCAGGTTGATATATTTATCAATAATTTCTTCTGTTTGCTGATAATGTTGAGGATCATCTGATTGTCGAGGTTGTTGATTATTTACGATCGCGAATAGTTGATCTGTTAGAGCAGCAATAGATGGATATTCAAAAATAATGTTTTGATCAAGAAAACCAAATTTCTGACATAATTTATTTCGTAATTGTAAAGTAGTCAGTGAATCAAGAGAGAGATGATATAATGATTGAGAATGATCATTAAAATTGTCAATTGGTTTATGAAGAACTTCGGCTACTGTTTCTTGTAAATAATCACAGATCTTTTTTTTAGTCCACAATTCGTGTTGATTATCATGCGGAATATTAGAATTCGACTTAGATTGATTTAAGAATTGTTCGTAGATTTGTTCAATTTCCGAGTGATATTCGTTATAAACTTGTTTTCGAAGAATATTACCTTTGTTTGTCACTGGAAGATGTTTATCCAAGGGCAAAATTTTAATCAGAGCCGGTGTTATGTGTGAATGTGAGGGTGCATTTGTATTGGCATTTTCAACAGCAGCCAAAATTTGTTTTTCTATTTGACTATGTTCATGTTTAGATGCTTCTTTACTATTCAGTTCAATTAAGACCGAACAATGTAAACGTTGATGACCAAGGACAACAGCATGTTCGACGATTGAACATTGCTGAATAGCAAGTTCTATTGGTAAAGGATTTGTCTTTTCGCCAGATATATGCACTAAAACATCATCTGCTCGACCTTGAACAATATAGTTACCAGATCCGACTGGTTCCTCCTTAAATAAATCTCCAATAGAATAGAATTTTTTCGATTTAAACTCCGGTGCAAGAAACGGATCCTGAGAGTTGACAACTAGTTCA